CAGCCCACCGAACGCCGCCGGCGCAAGCCGCTGCTCGGGCGCGGGGGCTGTGTTTGTCCGTCCGTTATTCGCGCTGCCGCCGAGTCCTCGGGCTAGCGGAGGAGCGGTCACATCGCGACACATCTGCATGTCGCAATAGCCCCCCGAATCGCGGCGCGGGGAGCCACGCGCTCGGTGTCGGGCTTCGGGGAGGGCTGTAGGGCAGCAGACCTTGCCAGTGGATTAACCCTAATTCTAGGGTTGCTCTTTAGCTTCCCAAAGAGAGCAATAACGTGCGTGCCGACCTGTAAAAATACTTTTCTGTATGAAAACAGTATTTTTATAAAGGGACTATCTGTACAAACCGATTCTCTCTTAAAAAAAAAAACAACCAACAACCCAGCATGCTACTCTAGCTTTTTCTTCTGCTCCTGTCAGAATATTTGTCTCTTATAATATGTTTCTTTTAAATAGTCGGGATCGCTTTTAAGCCTTTTTATCCCGAAGATATGTTTTTTCCCTCCTAATCTGTTTTACTTGTTTAAAAAAAATCTTACATTTTGTTTAGGAAAAACATTGAGCTTTTTTTGTACCGATAGGAAAAGTCAGTCCCTGTATGTTGTCTGTTTTTTTTAAAAACTCTTGGCTTGTATTTGGGTTTCTTTTCTACAGAAAAACATAAAGCTCTAAGGGCTGAGTTTGTTTTAGAAAACTCTCTTTGATGGTCCCAAAACATCTTTTCCTGCTATTGAAGACTGTCTTTCAACAGAAGAAAAAAAAAAAAAAAAGGAAAAAGGAACTTGGGTGGATTTTACTAGAGAATCTACTATGCATCTGAACTCCGTTAAACTGTACTCTTCCAAACAGAGCCCATTCCCTGTAGGAATGAAAACAGCAGCAACATACCCTTCTTCATAACAAATCTTGGAAAGCATTTGCTGTCATTCCTTGTTTTTCAGGCACAAATTGGTTAGTTTGTGTTAAAAGTAACAAAACCTGATATATGAACTCTTTTTAGTCCTTTTGGAACTTAGGTATTTCAGTGTAGACCGCATGAGAGAGACTATCAATAAATATTATCTTTAAGTAGCTTTCCTATCATTACGGAAATGCAAAAGCCTCTCTTCCTAATCCTGTTGAAAACAGAGCCCTGAACTCATGTAGAGCAGCGGATTCAAAATAATTTTCTTAACAAAGGCATCTTGCATATGAAGAGTTCATCCTAAGGCACTGTTTGACCTCTTGGTCTCTCATTATTATCAAGTCATCAGAGGGTCTTTGGAGAGAAAGGGGGAAAAAAAACCCCTGAGATACAGTTTATTTGTAAAACCTATCGTGTAGCTTTAAAGCACATTCACAATGAAGAAAAAAAACCACAAAAGAAATCTGTCTGATTTCAGGAAGTCTTACAAAAACAAAGTTAGTGCAAATTACAGATTTTGGGGAAAGTGCAGTGGAGTTGCGAAGCGCGGATTTAGAACAAAAGCTCTCTGAACTTAGATTAGAAATCGGGGAGCGAAAGGCTCTTTGAGACGCAAACATGTTTGCTTACGTATTAATTTCATGAATATAATTTCTTTAGGCATGACTATAATTGCTTATGAAAAATAGGGCATTGTCATGTCAAAACTGTGGCATGTGCTGCTCTGAATTTTTTCGGGGGCCAGGGGCTAAATTCTCCCTCTTCTTCTTTTCTATTTCTTTCTTTTTCAAACTGAAATTATTTCATAGTTGCGATCGCTTCGGTTACTGAATGCTTATTAGGAAGCGAGGTACAACACATGACAGAAGCTCACCCAAATGTTGAATATATCATTTATATTTTACGACAGTGAATTATATAGAAGATTCTCAAGTAACTTTCAAATCATCAAACTGTAATTAAATATTGCAAAGACTGTCTGAAAATTCTTTAATTTTTAATGAAAGTTAAATATATATTGTCAGTCTGCTTGAAGGTGTAGTATTTTAATGCATGACGCTCAGAACAAATTGGATAATGAAATGATTACTTTTAAATGAAACTGTTGCAGAAGCGTACATGTTTCTGCTGGCAAGGATCTTCTCAATACTCACACACACACACTCACACACTCAAGAATTGTGAATTCCCAGACTGAAATTACAGCTACTCTGAGGTTTCTGGTGGCAAATTAAAAATCCCACAGAAGCAAAGCTTGAATGAGTTAGGTTCCCCAGATCATACAGGAAAGTATCTGTGGCTCTTCCCTTATATTAAATAATTATTTTTTTAAAATATGCACAAATCAGATTTAAATGTATTCTCTTTGTCTTACAGTTATAAATGGCAAGGTTTTGTACAGCTGCAGATTGTTATTAAGCTAGGTAAGATGAAATAAAATCCGTTCTGCAAATCAGACCTAGGTTTCTGTATATAGGGTTGCTACTCATAGATTTAACATAAACGTCCCATTAGCAGCATGCATGAGATCAGCAGGTAGACAGGCAGGGCTTCGCTGGGCTGGATGCTCTGTACGTAATAAATAGTGGATGTTCCTGCTCCTATGGAGTTCTTGATCGGAATAGGTCAGGGATTTGCCTGTGTGCCTATGCCCAACCAAGAAACTCGTGGCAAGAGTGCTGTCGTAGGTGGAACGGGGGGATCTGCGTGTCCCGGTGCGCCTGTGTATGTTCCCGATCAGCTGTGATGCACTGTGGGAAGTGGGGCTGGAGAGTGGCGTTACTGAGGGAACCAACAACTGTGTTGCAAACTACATCCCAGGGCGGATCTGGGGTGTAGGTATGAACTATGCATGCGCTGCCCCAAAACGTGAGCTTCCGTCGCACGCGCACTCCTTGGTAGTCGGGGCTGTGGGACTTCCAAATGGGAAACCCAGGCGGGGTTGGTCGTGAAGTGCATCATTTCGAGTTATATTCAGGATAATGTGCTTGGCCTTTGGTGGTGGCCCCAGAGAGGCGTTGGGCAAGATGGGAATTATGTGCCTTTGAGGGGGTCTCGCTACATTTCCAAAATGTGGTCCCGTCATTTAAAAATTGTAAATACTCCGCACAAATCGTGAATGTTGTGGGGAAGTTCTTTTCAGTTAGGGTAACGACATTCGGCGTCAATACTGGCTTAATTAAATTTTCTTTTATGTTATCTTGGCACCTCGTTTTATGTCGGGATCGCATTCCTAATGCGTTCAAAACCCTGTAGGATCCCAAACTTTATAGCTGTTGCTTTCCGTAAAGCAGCAGCTCCTACCGCAGTAGGTCTGGCTCTAACAATGGTGCATTTTGAAATTGCCTGCAAAACGTGAAAGATGTCTGCTGTAATAAAACCGGAGTTTTTAGGCAAGTCTAAGGATTTTAATATATTTACAGAGAAGAGATGCCTTCTATTTCTTCAGCTGTATTTTCATAAAGTTGAGATATTTCACTATTAGGAAAGATGGGGGAAATAAGTCTGAAATACTTGTTCCCCACCCATTTTTCCTTCAGCCGTTCTCATCCATAAGATATAACGGATGCTAATACGGCTCAGGCATCTTAAAAATCATAAGTTTTGCACGATAGCTATTGTCTATTGCTGAGAGTCCTCACGAGTCAAAAAAGCCTTCCTTCAGACTTAGACTGTTTATATTTTGCCTTTTTTTTTTTTTTTTCCTTTCAGTACTTTAAGCCTGGATGCAAATGGTTTTTCTGTTGACTTCTCTATCATTCTCTGATGTCTGCAGATATTTGATCAGCTCGCTATTCTGTGCAGAGCGTGGCCCTTCTCTGGCAGCTCCACGCATGGGAAAAAAAATGTTATCAATAAGTTCAGAGGAGCTTCAGCAGACTCGGGGAAATTTCACACAAACATAAAACAAAACCTAACCCCTGTGACGGGGAAAGTTTACATTGCGCCAGATTTTAGCAGCTTTCTTGTGCCTTTGGTGAGATGTCAGAAGCGCAGGTGATTTTAATTTTCTTGTACAGAGAGGAATGGAGAAGTTTGGAATTTGCATGCATGATCAGGACCTGTGTTTGGGAAAATGTAAACTCATCACAGTGGAAAATGTGTTGTTTGGAGTCTGAGGGTGAAAACAAAGCTGAGGATTTTGGAGAGACTGCCTGAGCCAGATGGCCTGGTGCATTCCCAGTCTGGCAGCCCAACTGCTCCCTCCTGTATAATATACAGCCATTTGTTCTGGGATATTTACGCTAGAGCTGTTTCCATGTGAATGTTTGAAAACCATTAAAAATGAACATATTAGGAGAGATAAATTTATTTAATTTGTGTGAATACGTCGATAAGCAGGCGGTGTATCAAAGGCAGAGGGAGGCTGGATAAAATAATTAGATGCTACTGAATTGTGCATTGAGAGGGACAGCAAGAGCTAACCGTCCTCGCCCTGGGACCCAGCGCCGTGCTCCTTCGCCGGGATAAACCTCACTGGGATGAGTGGAAATTTTGCCTGGGGAAGGGGTAGAAATTCGGGGAATTAAGGGTTAAGTATTCCAAGCCAAATAAATGTAATTCACAGTATTTTCTGCGTGGATGTATAGCGGATACAAGCCTAATCCTCTCTGGGTGAAATTCTGGCCCATCTGAAGTCAATTGCAAAGCTCCTATTGAATTCGGTGGGGCCAGGATTTTATTTTCTCTCTGTGTGTATGGCTGTATACGTCATTACAAATCATTTTAGTTCTGTTTTTGAAAAGACCCTCGTTTTAATGAGTTTTTCTTCCTCCTTTTTTTTTTTTTTTTTTTTTCTCAATAAAGGAGATAGTTTGTTTTGTGGACCAGATGAGGAATTTGAAAGGGAGTGGATTTAGATGCGTGTTGGTGATTTCTCTCCTTCTCTTACTCTTTTAAAATCAAGGCCATGACATAACTGAATAATATAATGACCATGATCTCATTCCTTCAAGATTGTTTTTCGTCCAGTTCAGAAAGCAGGATTGCTTGACTGGCAAACTGACACCATGAGACGATTCTGTCCTCAGTTGTACCAGCATAAATCTGGATTTATTCAGGACTAGCTAAGGACAAAATCTGGCTCTATATTTTCCCCAACTTATTCGTCAGCTATTTTACTGCTTTATCTGGCTGTCTTTACTGGGGAAAAAGTGGATTAAATGAGAACCGTAGTCTTGACTTTTATATTTCCCCCTCCTCTTTTTTTTTTTTAATATATATTTTTTTTTAATGAA